GTTTGAGAAATTAAATGAGAATTTTTAGCCAAAATTTAGGAATAGCTTCAGTTAATCACGTATTTCTTTGATAAGAATCAATATGATCTTTATAAGGCTCCTCTTTCAAATGTTTGGTTCTAAGTAAATACTCAATACCCAATTTGATTTACAAAGTTGATCATGATATGATCAAGTGCTTTCTTGGTCGTCTCAAATATTATGATTGACATTTCTATTGTTTTCACCTAAGATTACAATAATTAAGTAATCGTTTCTACCCTCTTATACATAATTAGCACTTGTGGTTGACAATATCTTTGACATTCCGTCCATATGCCGAAAATCTAGCCATTAATTCAGAAAAATATTGTTAAAATCAATGTATAAAAATCTGCCATCTCAGATGATATCAAACTTGCTATAAAATATGATACACGTGTAGCATGATTGTTTTATATATATATCTTGCCAAAATAATAATTGTCGTTAGGGATGGCAAAATGGCTTGTCGGCTCGGGCTGCTTGGGTTGGCCCGGAAAAAGCCCGAGCTGGGCCGCTTGTGGCTCGGTGGGGCCTAAGCCCCATTTTGGGGCGTCGCTCGAGCCGAGCCTGCCCGTGATCCTAAAAAAAAAAAAAACTTGCCTACCACTTCTTTTTTGTAATTTTTTTATTTTTTATTTTCATTTTAATTGTAATTTTTTCTATATGTTAATATAGTTATTATTTATAATAAGTATAAATTGTACAAATTTTAAATTCTTTCAAAAAAATTAGATATGTCACGAATTAAAAAATAAATAAAAATGAGCCGGCTCGGCTTGCTAAGGGTCGAGCCTAAATTTTTGCCAAAAAAAGTTCGAAATATTTTTACTCGAGCCAAGCCCGAGCAAAAAGTTTCGGCTCACGGCTCGACTCGACTCGGTTCGGTTCGGTTCGATTCGATTCGACTCGTTGACACCCCTAATTGTCGTAGTCAAATAAAGGAAAAGTAAGGTTAACTTTTTGTTTACATTCAAAGTTTAGCACTTATAGAAATACCATAGGAGGTCATGAGTGCGCAAAAACATCTACAATAAAATAAACCATGTATAATCCAAATGCTCTATAAAGTAATGCTGTCCAAACGCTCTATAAACAATCTTTTGGATACATAGATAGTTTGAATTATTACCCGTAAAATACATCTAACAATCCTTTTAACCACGCAATAGTCCAAATGCTCTATAAAGTGATGTTATGACATGTGATAACGCAACAATCATTTAAACACAGTTATTTTCATCATGTTACCATATTTTAACATGGAATTCTTTGCATCATCTTCTCTCCCATTTTCCCATATCTCCTACGTGCAATCTCCTTCTTTCGTGTCTATTGGTACCTCCTAAAATCCTACTTTAGGGGAGCTAGGGAATCTATCGGGCTATTCTCAAGTAGCAAAGGAGTGGACTGAAAGAAACCATCGAGGGAAAATGTGCATAACAAGAAAGAGACCGACAACAAGAGGGAAGGTTGAAGGAGGGCATAGTGGGAAAGGGCTCATAGGAAAGACCTAATACAGGGAATGTGGTTGAGATGAATGAACTGGAGTGGGGGCAAAAAAATGAATATAATGGACAAGAAATAAGATTACACTAAGGAAGTGAAAATGATATGTTTAAAATGCTAATTGTTATACTTCCGGTGCGTGTGGATGACACATGTAATCCACGTGAGATTAAGAATGCCATGGAGAGTAAGATCGTCATGTCATTACAACCCAAAATGGAAGCCTGGCCAGGACACAACCTCTTTTGATAGGTTTTTTTGTCGGGTGATAAGGAGAGCCAACCTCGAATGTTCACATAAGAGATGCATCTTGTGATAAGGAAATCCAAGCTGGAAGGTTTGCATAAAGATGAACACGAAGCAAGACAAAAGGATCACTAGTTAAGTAGCATTAAGGCCCATGATATCTTTTTTCAGTTAAGGCAAAAATCTCTAGACGTAGTTGTAATTCACTAAAGACCTTTCCCTATTTAGAAAGGTCCAAGAGACAATATGACATTTCTTAAGATGACTATTCGAGAAGACCATTTTCAAGTACACAATAACGACTACAAGAAGTACAAATTCAAAGATATGATAGCAACATGGTCAGTAGTTAGCCCACAAATGTTAAAAGGTCAAAAATATCCCTGTATCGTCAATATAAGGTCAAAAAAAGTTGTCCTATAAAGGGCATTTTCAATATATTGTCACATTAATTTTAGTAAAAGAGCAAGTTTGAGAAGCATATATAAGCAGTTTAAATTATAAATAAGTAAAAATGAGAGGTGAATGCCTATTTATGGACTTTTTGAAATGTGTGAATAAAAAGTGATTGAATGTTTATTAACGTTGAGCCAAACATAAGCTATGTACGCTTCTAACAAATGTTAGTTTAACAAGAAAGAGATTTAGAATTCATTTGGCATGACTTTGAGAAGTCAAAATGAACTCTTGAGATCTAAAAATTGTTTTTCTATTTGTTTGGTTAATTTGTAAAGTGTTTATCTATTTAGAAGAATTTTTAGAAGAATCTGACTCAATGTGGTTTTCGTAAAGATTCATTCAGAAGAGAATTTTTTTTTTAAGAAATTAATTTTCAAATAATAATTAAGGTAGCGAAAGTCCTACCAAACCTTTATTTTGCTTATTTTATAGTGTTTTTTTAAGACTAATATTATTTATTATTATAATGATGGATTATCGTTGATATAGCAACTTGTGTGGAATAATATGATATGATATCCAATTTTCATGAGAGGAAAATTGAACTATTCTATTCCATTATTTCACATAATTTGTCGCATCACCAATAATTCATCATTATTATAATAGATAGCATTATTCATTTTTTAAGCACACTCAAACAACTCTTATTAGCTTAATGGCTTGTAATTAAAAGGGGAGGAAAAAAAAAAAGAAAGGCCTGTTGAACGAGATTGCCACGTAGACACATTCACTTCGGTGACTAGACTTTCAACCGCCAGGCGTCTGTTTCTCTCTCTTTCTATCATTACGCCACTTCACAACAAACAAAATACATCTCCTTTCCCTCCACTCATCTCAATCATCACACTTCTCCCTCTAGGGTTCCAGATTCTAAAACCGCTTCTCCTTTCTCCTTTTCCAATAATGAGAAAGTTTACTTGATTCGAATATCGGATTCGGATCGGATTTACTTTTTCAACCTGATTATCTAATACTTCTACAAATTTTCTTAATTTTTTTTTTTCTAATTATTGGATGATTGTGAAATAAAGTTACTCATGTAATAATGGTGGCCGATCTGTGTTTCGAGACGTATCAAATGCTTTGAATGTAAGAGCTCGATCAATGTTTTGTTTTATTAGTTGTTTTTATTTGATTTACTATGAAGTGTATGAGAATGGAAAGAAATCAGACAAGTTCAATTGGCGTTATGGAATTCAAATGTTTGGTTGCTTAACGTTATTGAACTTGTGATTAAATGAAGGCAAAGTGATGAAGGTGCGAACCTAGCTCTTTCTGTTTCCCATGTATAAAAAATTTAATAAAGAGAGAAAAGTTCGAAATGATGTAAAATGGCTATTTCTTTAATGGATTAATAATTTTGGAAGCTGAAGATGTGAGTTTTTCTTACTATTATTATACTTACCAAAATCAAGGGCAAAAAGTTTTCAATTATGTAGGTGTAAAAGAAGGAGTTTGCCAGTGTATAGCTTTCTTAAATACTGAATTAAAAGATATTAACTTTATCTGTACACTGTATTTGGTATGCTTAAACAAGAGAAAAAAGAAGCTGGTGATAATTGTAGAATAAAGACATTTTTCACTTGGTCACTCTGTTTTTGTTATTCGTTGTTGTTCTTGTTAACTCAGCATTTGAGAATGATGGATCTTAGCTCATCATATGCATAGAGTGAGGATAACGTTGATCCTAATTTCTTCTTCATCTTTGTGCATTTCATTAGATTTTAAATTGAGATCAAGACAGTTGCTTTAGATGTTATGCAACAGATTTTTGAGGTTTGGGAGTCTTCGAGCAGGGTATATCACTAGACACACCGAGTTAAGGCAGTTAAGCTATATCTGGAGAGGCTTGAATCCACCTCAGTGCTCAGCTTATTTGTGGGATTGCAAGTCAAAAATAGCAAGAAAGATGATGGTGGATTCTGGTGCAACTGCTAAGGGAGGACCTGTTATTGATATTTTACCTGAGAAGGATGATGATGGAGGATATGCTAGTGGAGGATGGAAGAGGTGATTAAATTGCAGTAGTTTTGATCTGGTTATGCATCTATGTTCGATGTTTGCAATTACATTATTAGTAGTGTTACCTACAAAACTCTTACATCATAGTATTTATTTTTGTATGTGGTGAATAAGTTTAGTTGACGTTAATTATGGATAGGATTGGTTGCAAGCTTTTGAGCGCCAGTCAATAGGGTATTCGTTTTCAGTATGATCTATAAAAGAATCAGGTGGCATGACTTCATTACACATGGATCATCTAATAATGTTTTTTTTTCCTTGATGAAATCTGGTTCTCTCTCATTTTCTGTCCCTTAATTTGTTTCCTGGGAGGTCTGGGAGGATTTGTCTGAATAATCTTTATTATAAAACTGGAAAATACTTCTGGGATGCCCACATGCTGATACATATGCTGGTGGTTCGGAATAACATTAGTCACGAGCCTTTATTGTATTATATTCTGGAAAAGGACACATCACATGCTATTTAGTGTTTACCCAGTGTTGGGAGGAAGAGAACGAGGATGAAAGACACTTGAGAGCAAACTGTAGGTAGGGACAAAATGAAGTAGAGCCCACCTATATAGTATAGAAAGACACAGAAATTTAATAGAGATACACATTTTTCTGCTAAGGTTTTGGAAATGTCCCAGATAAATGTACATGTAGCATTTATTATATCTTATTATTGCCTAAAGAGTAAAGTCCTAGTATTGGTAAACTAGGGTTTGAGTTTGTGGTACTTCAGCTTGTGATGTTGAAGCCGGTTATGGTCTGTGCCATATCTGGGTCTTGGGACAGTGCTTCTGATGTGCTTTACTAAACATTGAATAACAAAAATGAACATCTGTTGGGTATATACTCACACAGGTCATCTGGGCGTATTTGCTAAAATTTTGATTTCCAGGAAACTGGATATTTAATTCTCATATTTTTAATTATAATATCTTTTTATGACAACATGTTTCTTTGAGTAATATCTTTTGTGAATTGCTGGAGGAAAGAGAAAGTGTTCAGACTGTTATCAGGAAGTGAATATCACATCCATCTTCTACCTCTCCTGCTGAATATGTATAATATACACAGTGTTAATGCCATGTTAACTGGCTCATTATGTCATGCTATGCATAGTTGGAAGATATGGACATAATCTATGGTGTTTCTGTTCTGCCTAATGGAAATATGTTCAATGTTATTGAGACTTTTCTCCCTTCTTTCCTGCTGATATGAACATTTATATCACATGCTTATATTTCTTTGGAATCTCACTTACTCTTGGATTCTTTCCTATTTGGCAGTGAAGATGGAAGATTGAGCTGTGGATATTCCAGTTTTAGAGGGAAGAGGGCTAGTATGGAGGATTTTTATGACATTAAGACTTCAAAGATTGATGGGCAAACAGTCTGTCTCTTTGGAATATTTGACGGTTAGATGTTCTCTAATTACCTTTCACCTTGAAGCTTGAGTTGTGGATATAAAAAATGCATTATCTGCTAGTGGCCAAATTCAAGTAAAGATCGGCTATCTAAACTGTCTTCTTGTACAATTTACTGCATGCATGAAAGAAAGGTCATAGTTTTGACCTGGGTAAAACTTAATGGTGCGAATAAATTGCCTACTATCTCAAAGGAAAATCCAATGCCACCGTCAATTGGTGCTGTCAATAATTTGGCAGAAGTTTCTAATATTTGTTAGCTAAATTGGTTGTAATTTTTTTATTTTCTAACATTGTAGACTCTAAAATCATGTCAAATAAGTTTTCAGCTTGAAAATTTGATTGTCCTTCCCTATTGAATAATTGGAGGTGAGGGGTGATGTTTACATAAAGGTCAAAAGTGGACATATGGTGCTGAACTTAGATTGGAGTTTTGGACACTTATAACAATTTAGGACCTCGTACGTGGCAGTTGCCCGTGCAATGGACCTGGTAACTATGACTATTACTAAACATTGTTCATCTAGTTTTATCTCATTAAGCAGATGTCACTAAAAAAATGATCAAAATTAACTAGTATATTGAAAGATTTTATTCTACTTATGTTGGAGGATCAGATGGTCATTTTCAAGATTAACTCTTCATCAAATATCCTGCTTCCTCTATTAAAAATGCTTGGCATGGGCATTCGACTTAATTATGAATAGAAATTAAAGCATTATCTTACTTTTCTGACAAGAATGATTTGTGATGACAGGTCATGGTGGTTCACGTGCAGCAGAGTATTTGAAGAAACATCTCTTTGAGAATCTCATGAAGCATCCAAAATTTATTACAAACACCAAATTGGCAATAAGTGAGTTGAAATGAATTTATTATCATTTCTATTTATCACTTCTTACACACCAGTTCATCTGGGACGGCAATAGAATCATCTTCAGTCTTCACCTCTCCCCATCCTACTGGGGACTGCATTACATCTACAATAAGGCGTAGTTTGGTTTTGCAGACGAGATAAAAATTTAAACCTGATTACTTTTGGGGCACGTTTGGGGATTCACTACATGCGGGTGTCCTGAACCTGCCCCAGTTTCATACAGAATAATTAACATCTTTAATAGCACAAACCAACCTGCCTTGCTCCTGTGGGGACAGTATCAGGAGCTATATAGTTACCTTGAGAAGGTTACGGAATGTCCATCCTGCACTCACAGTTGCCATACCTATTACTAACCTGGCCCTAGCTTATCTTTGCTTTCTGTGCTGCGGAACAATTGTCCTTGCTTGCATGGTTTAAGCAATAAATGATCAACTGGCTTTCCATATTGGTCGTACACAGGCTCTCATTTTAATTAGTAATTAAACTCAATAACTTTTGTAAAACCACAGGTGAAATATATCAGCAGACCGACAGAGATTTTTTGGAGTCTGAGAAAGATACTTTCCGAGATGATGGTTCAACAGCTTCAACAGCAGTTCTCGTGGGTAATCACCTATATGTCGCTAATGTTGGAGATTCACGGACTATAATATCAAAGGATGGCAAAGGTACTTTTCTTGTATTGTAATTTTGTTTTCCTTTTCTAGACAGTATACTTTCTTATTATATCTTGCCTTCTAACCATTTACCATCCTATAGATACTGTAAGAAACGAAGCCTCCAAACATTCTTTGACTGCAAATTATAATTCGAATTATTTTTAGCCCCAATGAGATCGCAGGAATATGGGATCAACGGACTTTGTTTGGGAGACAATGTGTTTTGTTTTACTAATTTTTGTTAGCAGATACATACTGAAATCAACGATAACAATACTTGCATTGATGTTAGTTAGATCATAAAAGTTTGGTTTTCGTACATAGATGTAATGACTGATAAATTTTCCATCCAGATGCTAGACATCCTGGTCCTGTGGGAACTGTAATGGGTTGACTGAACATGGTCTTTTTGTCTGTTCAATCAAGTTGTTTTCCTCCATATTCTATTTAAGCCGGCAAGACTTGAGTTTCACATTGGTCGCCTATGCTAACATGTAGTAATTAGGTTAGTTCTTATATGTATGTTAATGAAGTCAATAAATGTGACGGTGTTCAATTGATAGTTATGATTATTTGCATTGCTAAAATTTGGAGGCCAAAGGTTCTTTTGATTGTAACTTCTGAACTGCACTGCATTTTTTGTGCTTGGCAGCTATTCCACTCTCGGAGGATCACAAACCAAACAGAAGTGATGAGCGGAAGAGAATTGAAAATGCTGGAGGTGTTGTAATGTGGGCAGGTATGGCCCATTCTGGACATTAATAGTTGTGCTCATTAGATATCTTGCAAATTTAGCAGCACTATTCGTGTGCTGTCTTTACAGTAAATGCAAAGAGGTGGTATTATTGATGAAAGGGTGTTTTCTCATAAGTTAATTGTCAAATAAATAAATAAATGTATCTGCTCAAGCTTTCTTTGATTCGCACATAATGCAGATGTGAATCTTTTTTCTTTTTCTTTTTCTTTTTCTTATTGTGGTTCATCCTTTTATGTTGTTCGTCATTTAGTATATACAACTGTTGTCAGAATGATTGACCGCCTGGTCTTTGTATGGCAAATGAAGTTTAGATATCTGTCCACGTTGTCAATTTGTGGTCCAATAAAAGGATAATAAATCTCCAAAATAATATATATAAATGTTCGCAAATAGTCCCATATTGACACCCATCAAAGATTTGTTCCCACCCTAAAGCATTTTACATGAAGCTGTGAAGGAAGAAAATAAATTTGTGCTTCCTTCCAAAACATTTTGAAATTGCTGTGTGAGAAGAATAGATTATTGGGTCGTTTGGAAAAATGGTTAATAAAATTGTTTGAGAGGTTTAAGATATTGGACATTGACAGTTGGTTCGAGATATTGGGCACTGGTCTTCCCAACTTGTCATTTTCTGAGTAGATGTTGAGCAAAGCGAAATAAAATCTTTGTGCAAGAACTATCAACTCACATTTGGAAATTGTCTTGGATAAAAATTGTGTGCTTCCAGGTAGCTGATTGACTTTTTATTTATTGCTTTTGTATCAGGCACTTGGAGGGTTGGAGGTGTCTTGGCCATGTCCCGTGCTTTTGGAAATCGCATGCTGAAGCAGTTTGTTGTGGCTGAACCTGAGATTCAGGTAGTCTTATTTATTACTATTTTACTGCTTTTATGTATTTCCAGATGAGTTTCCTTGGTTCTAAAGATTTCTAAGTCAAACTTCAAAGACTTGTATGGTGATGAAAATATTCAGCTAAAATTTCAAGGGGTTTGTAAGCCTTTCTCCGAGGAAGGATTATTAATGAAGCTTGACAAGTAGATGCAACTTTTAAATGATTTCAATTGATCAATATCAGCAGATGTAGTTTTCTTGATAACCTCCTTTTCCCCCAATCCCCTCTTCTCCAAACCACCACGAAAATAGAGAGGGGTATGAATATAGTTGGTTCTCTTGTAATTAATATGGTAGATTGAAAAGTTATACCTATTAATTGTGATATTTCAAATAGCTCCGATCATCAAAATCTTAATTTTCACATAATCTTGTCACACAAATTAATACTATTTCCTTCTTGGTGTATTTTGGTCCTTGTATACGATTATACATGTGATCTAATTTTTGTTAATCCTTAAGATATTTATCAAATTATTTTACAGGATCAAGAGATTGATCAAGAGCTCGAACTTCTTGTGCTTGCAAGTGATGGACTTTGGGATGTTGTACCCAATGAGGTAATCAGAATATAAACGACTATTATTATTCCTTTTATCATATATCAGGCCTTTTTGAGTTTCTTGGTGCTGTTGGAACTGAACAATATGGTCAATGATATTAATAATTTAAATCATATAGTTATTTAATTTATTTCTGAAAAGGACAAAAACATATTTTCTGGTATTAATAGTCATTGGTATAGTAGCTGATGTAAGTGTCCCCATATTTATCAGGATGCCATCTCACTTGCACAAATAGAAGACGAACCCAAAGCAGCAGCGCGGAAGTTGACAGAAACGGCTTTCACCCGTGGCAGTGCAGACAATATTACCTGCATCGTGGTGAAGTTTCATAATGACAAAACAGAACCTGAGGAAACCCATCAAACTTTTGAAGCAAACTCTGAGGAAACCCAGCAAACATCCAAATCAAACACCAAGGAAACCCTGCTTGCTTCCAAAGCGAACTCTGAGGAAAGCCAGCGAACTTTCAAAGCAAGCACTGGGGAAACCACAAAAAATTACAAGTCGAATCCTGCCCTGCATACTTCCGAAGCAAACTCTGAGGAAACCCGGCCAACTTTCAAAGCAAACGCTGAGGAAACCCAGCAGACCTCCAAAGAGAACACTGGGGAAACCTCAAAAAATACTCCAAATCCCAATGAATCCCAACAAAGTTGATGAATATGTTGCTATTGTATTTACAGTTTATGTAGGTGCAAATATGCTGATGATCACATTGAAGGGATGGTGTTTGTTCATTCATTTGATTGTTTCTTTGTAATTTGTCTTGTACGTTTAAATTTCAGTGCATCATACTGATAAAGACATCATCTGGGTAAATTTTATGGGTGGTCTTAATATAATAAGAAATGACTATCCTGCTCTTTTCAATTTCCATGTTTTCATCGCTTGGCAGAAAATTTTCTTGCTTTACTATGCCACCAGCCAACGCCCTTTCTCTTCCCCTGTAACTTATGTGGCAAACGGGGTCGAACCCTTGTTTGCCTTGACATCTGTGTGGTGGTGTGAACAAAAATATCGGATTGCAATGATGTAGAAATGTTTGGTATGCGAAGTTATTATTAAACTAGAAATTAAAGAAACAATCATGGTGACGCCAACAGCTTTTACGTGTCATTTGTGATTGTTGTAATCTAAGCATTGTCGGGATTAACAGTCTATGCATAGTCATAATATTTTTATCGATAATCATTGATAGACGATAGTATATTGTATTATTGTCAATAATTTTATTTGAATCACTGACAACTATTTTTATTAAAATCATTGACAACAGAATCATCTATGAACGTCTATAGAATTTTCTATATGTGATCTTTGCTTCATTTAATTATTAAAAAAAACTTTTAAGCACTTGAGCCACCTTTACTCCCATACAAGATTATAACAATGCTAAATCACTTTTGATCAAATTCCACGTAGGATAAGAAGTTAGAATGGATTATCACATTCACTTACACAAATAAAATTGACTTGAGGCAGATTGATTCTTGGTCAGAATTACCAAAAAGAAAGGGAACTCTGCTATAGATACATGGCGCCGAGGTGGCGTGAGGGCGCCTGTCATTTGTCTCGATCATTGAGCCGGGACGAATGGCATAATTCAAAGAAAGGGGACTTGATGATACGAATGTGTTATCCTCGTCCAAATAATACTCTTTATCACATCAAACTCGGTTACTATAAATAGAATATGTTACAAGCTCTTCGACTACACTTTATTTACATATAAATATACTGTATACACATAATCTATATCCAATTGCATCTTATATAAATTTGATTATAAAATGATTTAAGTATGGAAGTGTCTTGAAATGAAAAATTTATCTTCTTTTTGTTCTTACACTGAGACATCCTCAAAATTATCTTTCAAGATTATGCACGATTGACAAAAATATTCTAATGATGCCATGGATGCACGTAGCTTTTGAAAGATTGCTGGTTTCGACTTTCGAACAAGAATAGAGGACGATATTCATGGTTAGTCATGTACTCATTGATGCTACAAAGGTTAAGTGTGTACTACTTTTTCAATATTTAACTTAAAAATCAAATATTCGAAAATACTTTATCTACGAATGGTATATGTTATGGGTCTGTTTGAGCCTCATTTTTTAGGTAGAGTGCATTTTGAAATAAAAGGAAATGTTTTGGGTTGTGTGTAATATTATTTTATTGAAGAATGTGTGGTTGAAAACAAGAGCGAGAAAAATGTATTTTGAAAAAAAAGAAGATAAAATATAAAAGATATATGAAAAGTAACCCTAATTAAGTTCAAATGGTGAATCAACCATAGTTAGATAGAACCATAGTTAGGGTTAACCCCCAAAAGTTGTTGTAAATAAAAGCAAGCCCATGCCCATCTGTCTTTTGCAATTTTTTGGGCATTTTCAGATTTTTCTTCGGGGGGTTTTGACCAAAAAATTTCTAGCTCTCTACAGAAATCCTCCCCATTTCAATTTGGTGGGAAAAAAAACCACCAAATTCAACTCCAGGCGGTTCAGATTATTATTTTAATTGGTAATTATTTCTTTTATTCTTTACATTTTTTCAGAATTTTTAGGTTAATTATGAATTGGTACTGAATCTAGGGTGTTTCTATCTGGAGTGCTGAATATGAAGGTTCGGAAATGGAAGTTAAATTTTGTTATTTTTTTATGAGCTCAATTTCTTGGATCTATTGGAATCTCAATTTTTGAATTTTGAGTTTGATTTTGGATTTGTGAATTTTAAACATTTTTTGGTAATTTTTGCTGGCTGTTGTTTATTGGGATGTACTTTACCATTGGAGCTTTTAAATTGAGTTCATGACATCGTGCGTAGAGATTGTCAGAATTTGAATCATATACTGTGTTTCTGCAACTCAATTACTGTTGGGTCGATTTGCTGTGTTCTCTGCAATTTGCTTAAGTGCTGTTGGGCTGAATTGTCTTTACATAAATTTATCTCTGTTTCCTTTCTTCCCGTGGATTTCGAATTGAGAAGTAACCTGCAATTCGAACTTGAATTAGACTGTTATGTTTGTCTCAAAGAACAAATACGTGATGACCCCAATAGCTAATCTTTTCTCGTTTTTTATGTACTGCTCCATCCTCTATGGTGACATATATAACTTAATCCAATTCTTGTAAACGATGGTGCATTAACATACGCCTGTGCATTTTACGAGTAACCTTCACTTTATCAAAATTTGGCTTAACTTTTGTCAAATTTTTATACTCACTTCAAACATCTTTTCCTTGAATCGGGTATTTGATATTTCCTTAGGGTTTAAGTTGAGATATTTGTTCTTATATTCTCGCTGGTTTTGGGGTGTTTACAGTTAACATGCCATATTAAGACTGCTTACCAAAAACGGGTGAACAGTTTGGAACCAAGTCATTGTAAAAATATGGAGTGCAATAGAGATGAGGCCCTCCGGGCAAAGACAATTGCAGTGGGCAAGTTAGAGAAGAAGGATTTTGCTGGCGCTAAAAAATTTTCCTTGAAAGCCCAAACTTTGTATCCAGGACTCGAGGGTATTTCACAAATGTTGACAACACTTGATGTGTATATTGCTGCAGAGAATAAAATAAGTGGAGAAGTAGACTGGTATGGAGTGCTTGGCGTCAACCCTTCGGCTGATGATGAAACAATAAGGAAACAATACAGGAAGTTGGCTCTCACTCTTCACCCAGATAAAAATAAATCTGTTGGCGCTGATGGTGCTTTTAAACTTCTTTCAGAGGCCTGGAGCTTGTTATCTGATAAGGCTAAGAGGTTGGCATATAACCAAAGGAGGGGTTCTAGAGGATTCCAACAGAAAGTTCAAATGCACACTGGTGGTCCATCAGCAGCATCCAGAGCAAATGGATTTCATAATGTTGGAAGTAGGTCAACATCAGTCACAAAGACCCAAAACAATAGTTCAAGAGTGCCACCTACATCAGTTCCTACGCCGTCGTATCAAAGGACTGATACTTTCTGGACTATTTGTCACAGATGTAAGATGCATTATGAGTATCTTAAGATATATCTCAATCATACACTTCTGTGTCCCAATTGTCACGAGGCCTTTATGGCTTCAGAAACTGCTCCACCATTCAACTTTTCCAAATCATCAAATCCTGCTTCTCGCCAACGGCACCAGAATTTGAATAATCATGCACCTGCTAGAAATCATGTTGACCCGGGAAGAAATGCTGCAGCTGGTCAAAAATCAGGACCAGGACAAGCAAGTCCTAATGTGTATGGGAATAGAAGCCACCAGCAGTTTCCTCATTCTGGCAATACAGATCCTTCTATATCGGCAAAAGCAGCAAATGTTGTTCAGCAGGCACAGGAGAAAATGAAGAGAGCATATCCTGAACCACCTGCTAGGTGGGAAGGAGAAACAAAAATGCGAAAAATAGATGATTATTTTGGTGCAAACACTACATATAACATGACCATGGCAAATGGAGGTTTTTCAAGTGCAGGTGCATCGGGATCAAGGATATATGGTTTCTCTGGTACTAATAGTAAACCCAACAGCACCAGAGACCTGACCCCACAAGAAATGCGAAACGTGTTAATAGAGAAGTCTCGAAAAGAGATTCTGAAGAAGTTGAATGAATGGAGATTGGTGATGGCAACAAAGGCTACAGATAAAGTGAAAGAGAAGGCTAAAGAGGGCAAGAGAAACAAACACCGAAACACCAGCGGGCATGATCAAAATGGCAATGGTGGGTTGTCTATTCCCATTGTAGCAGATCGAGCGAACAAGTGTCCTGTTAGCCATTCTGCTGACACTGCATATAAGGAGGATAATGTGGCAGCACCCATGAATGTTCCAGATCCCGATTTTCATGATTTTGATCAGGACAGAGCTGAAAGTTCATTTGGAGATAATGAGGTTTGGGCTGGTTATGATGATGATGATGGTATGCCGCGTTTCTATGCTCTGATTAGTAAGGTAATCTCAAGGAACCCATTTAAGGTCAAGATCAGCTGGCTTAACTCAAAAACGAGTACCGAATTTGGATCTCTAGATTGGGTAGGTTCAGGTTTCTACAAAACGTGTGGTGAATTTAGAGTTGGCAGATATGAAATCTGCAAATCTATCAATTCTTTCTCCCAGAAGGTTAATTGGTCAAAAGGCCCACGGGGGACAATTCAAATATTGCCAACAAAGGGTGATGTTTGGGCACTCTACAGGAATTGGTCGCCTGATTGGAATGAGCAGACCCCGGATGAAGCCGTACACAAATATGACATGGTTATGGTACTTGATGACTACAATGAGGAACAGGGTGTGTCTGTCGCTCCTCTTGTTAAGGTGGTTGGTTTCAAGACAGTATTTCATCCAAATTTGGACCCCGAAAAGGTCAAGAGAATACCGAAAGGAGAGATGTTCCAATTTTCTCATAGGGTCCCAAATCACGTGCTTAGGGGTGATGAAGCTGAAAATGCTCCAAAAGGTTGCTTAGAGCTGGACCCTGCAGCTACCCCATTGGAACTTCTTCAGGTGATTACAGAAGCTAATGAGGTGCCAATGATGCCCCATGGTGAAGGTTCTAAGGAAGAGGAATTGCAGAGCTCTCCAGATACCAGGTTGGACGACATTGCTAATGGGACCACAGAGGCTCAGGAAGTAGATAGAAAACATTCTGGAGACCGAGAAACTGGGGAAAACGGGCTTTGAAGGGTAGCCAGGGAAGCAGCGCCTTTTGTACTATGCTGGTAATTTTTGAACAAATGTGCAGAATGCTGGATATACACCCAGTATATAGGCCTTATCAATTGCACAAGCCCCAAGTATAATTGAAAGGGAATAGCGTTTTGTTGTGGAATCGGAATTGGGTGCATACTTTTATTCTTCATTTTGAACTCGATAAATGTGGAGACTCTGAACACTTGAAAGGTAGATCAAGTCTAACCCCAATTTTGACAGTTAATTGATTAAAGTTATGAAGATGAAGAACTTCATTCTTTTCTGTCTAGATAAAAGTGAATGCTTTCTGCCTACTGAATATCATGTATAACAGTATAAGATAGGAGGTGTATTCTTTGTCGTGTTACTTGATTCTAATGTTAAAAACATGAAAATTCATTTTTGTCTTAAAAGTCTAAAACATTTCTAAGTCGAAAGGTTCATTTATATTTTGCTGCGTCTATTTTCACATCGTCATGGAATGGACATGCTCAAGTATTTATTGTTCTTTTGTTGGGCTTGAACGTATGTATTTCTACCCCTGGAGATCAAGTGGTGAACCGATGCATGGTTTTTTGTTTCGATTCTTCGTTAAAATTAACACATTTTTTCGTAGATGCAATGCACCTCTTACATCAAAGCTAGATGGTGAGCTTGTTCATTGTGCACTGTGACATTTAGCAGTTTTGGAATTATGAAATGAGTCTACAAAACTAGGAATCTTATGTAGTATCACTCAGATGACGCTACGTTGAACTGTCTCAACTAAAAACTCTATTATATTAGAATAAGAGCTCATTTATTCAAATTTAGAGTTACATATCACAAATTAACAACAAACTCATTATTCCACCATACAGCCGGAAATCACATATGTTGCCAGTATACATCTCAAGCTGGTGCATCTGCAGGTGAAGGCACCATTTTAAACAAACGGGATCTCCCACTTTAATGCTCTTCCTCTTTCTTTGAGTTAGGGAATCAGTACAAACCATGTTTTGTACAAAATATACTGGCAAAATGAAGTGCTCAAATTTCCAAAATTAAGTAGATCTATATAAAAGTCAACAGAAATGCTTGCTTTTTGAATAAATCAAGGGTACAACATTGGTTGACAATCATGTGTTGTCAAAATCCTAATATGTGATGTAAAAAACAGTTTTTTAAAATGGATGGATATGATGATGCTAAATAGGACGTTGTCAACTAATGTTGTACATGTAGCATGATTCCAACTTTTTAGAACTAAACTGACCTCCCCTGTTGTTTCTTGTTCGGACGCAAAACTTTATCAGAACGGAATTTCATAAGAGTCTTGGTAGGTTTAGAGCCGCCACCGCAGTTTCTTGATTTATTATAGGTACCTTAAATTTATGTAAATTTTCAACATGAAGACGTTCCAACATTTCAAAGAAAAAGATCAACGGCGGCTAAATGCATCTAGAGCATGCTACTCTCGAAGAATAGTGACATCTTGATTATTTCGAAATCTGACAAGTTTACCACCTACTAATCAACGAACAACTCAACGGCTACTCAATACATCTAGAGAATTCTTAATATCTAGTGATATGGTCGATTCTATTTGACCGACATCGAGGTATGTCTCAAGGACTCCATGCCAGTTCTTTGCTAGAGGACTTACCCCAGTCGTCATTTCAAGATTACGGGCGATGGTCCTCGAGGTCGCTCTTAGGGCTCAAGGATAAAGGGAAGACCACTTCTGCAGGATTTGATGGCTCGTACTAATAAGTCCTCGAGGTATTTCCCTTGCCCTACATCATCGCACTCAATAGAAAGAGGAGTTCTCCCCCTCACTGAGGACTATACCCTAGAGACTGATTCTGGTAGGACTCTTAGAGATAAGGACGTTAGATCAACTTCAGTCCTATCAGGAGTGAACTACTCCGTCCAACAAGGACTCTACCACCTGGCTCTATAAATATGGGCCCCCAATTCAGTATTCAGGTACGTTCTACATTACTTTACAATATATAGCCTTACGAATAAAATTCCCTATCTAACTTAAGCATCGGAGGGGCGACGAGGTCATACCTCACCGCCTTTGTTTCAGGTACAGTAGGATCACATTCGTGCTCATCAACAGTTGTTAAGGTTGGAAACAGCCAGGTACGATTTTTGGTAGTATCATCTAGTATTCGACAAGATTGAAAAGTAACAATGACGTAGAAGGGTAAATGAATACCAGAATATCATGGAATTGTGAATCCTCTAAATAAAAACAGCATTAGCGTAGCTCGAAACCTTGGAAAAGGTTGCGAGGATATAAATGTTTACCTAACAAAGAGAGCATAGTTTGATACCATGGAATCTAAGCACATCCATAGACCATAGCAGGAGCCATTATCTCTAGAGAAGGAATCTTCGGCATTAAAGTTTAGTCCGAATAGCGGTTTGAGGTATGAACTGTATTTCAATTTTTTTCTATTTCTTCGTTTCTTTACCGTCCGTTTGAGCCCCATTTTTTTCAAGTTTTCATTCTCATTATTTACTTTTTCTGGGCCGCACAGCAAATATTTTCAACCAGTTGTGCCAGAGATTTTTGGGTGAGTGACCGTTGAAAATTGGTTAGACTAATATACCCAATTTGTCATCTATTATTTACGAAAATACCTACTATTATTATCCACACTTTCAAATTTCCTTTACAATTAAAAAAGGGTAGATTCGGGATAAAAAAATTTGTCTGCCAAATTCTGAAAAACCGTATGAAGTCAGGCAAATAATCAGTCCAACCCAACTGTTGAAGCAGTCCAAAAATCGAGAAAAATGAGAAAAAAATGGGGAAAAAATGGGGCTCAAACGGGGGCTTAATTTACCTAAATAAGAGTTCTTATTTGGTTCTCAGTCGTCAAAAAAATGCCTCGTAAGGCAGCTCGACTCGATTTATAGATTTTTCCTGCACAAAAAATACAAGGCTCGTCTGACTTGAGTATAACATTTCTGAATTTTTTGATAGAGATGAAAAAAATGAACACACACATTTGCTTGGACGACCCTTGTCTCGACTTTAATTTACCTATGTAAGTTGAGAATCTCAACTTAGTAATCAAAGATTCAATTGTCCCAAAATTGTCTTAAATAACTTTAGTACTAATAATGACATTCATTTTGATGTATGAACGATTGAATTGGTCAAAATTAACAACTACCCGAATTAAAATTGACCACTATTCAGGTCAAATGAACTTCGAGTTGGATAAAATAGAACTTGATGGAGTTTAATTGACTCCAATTTAAAAAGATGAATACCACTATTTAGGTTAAATGAACTTCAAGTTAGATCAAATAGAACTTGATTGAGTTTTAATGGACTCCAATATAAAATATGAATATATTAAATTAACAATATATATATATAAAAGAAAATGATAATAAGCATGTTATGCTATTATAATGTTGAGTTAGGCTCCTTTTTATTTTCTTTCTCGCCTCTGTTGGCATTTTTTCCAAGCGTACGCATCTCAATCGGCTAGAATTGAGAGAGGAGAAAATAATTTATCAAATATAATTTCTCGAGTGCAATGGCAATTTTATTTATGAACAATAATGAAGAACATCGCCTTCAAGTAAAGTATAAAAAGTCGATAACTTTCTTCACTTATGAGTTATGAGAAGTAATTAAATTTTTTTTTTTAAAGACAAAATTATAAAAATATTGAATTCTAAAATAAGCGCCCATTTGGCCCCAATTATTCAATTTTAGAATGAGAGGAATAGTAATTTTTTTGAAGAATGCGTGACTAAAAAAGGAGTTTTTTTTAGATTTATGTGTAATATTATTATATTGAAGAATGTGTAATTGATAAGACGATGAAGAAAAAAGAATTATAATTTACTGAAGAATAATGGCGACAGAACGGGGGATGAAGTAACAAAATCATGTTAATTTTCCAACATTGTTCCTTTACAGTACCAGAGTGAGTAATAAAACTTCAATTTGACTACTTGCACTGGATCTTGATTTCATTTACCAATAATTTTGACCATGCCAAGTAACATTTTTATCATAAAATATAAGTATGAAAATTTTTCCACCAGCTATATATATCACATAAAAGATATTTCGCTCTATAGCTTGTATTTTTGTCTTTTATTTTGAATTGGTATGAAAAGAAAGATTCTCTAAAGATAAAGAACAAATATTCTTTTCTTTAACTAGCGACCGATAATTTATGTAAATTCTACCTTCAATACTACCATCACATAGAGGGTTGAATTCATTTTATCAACCCTCATGTAAAAAAGCTGCAACAAGATTTGAACTCTACACTTTCACAAGTCTTCACACTACTTTATATTACCTCATCTAAAACACGGTACCTAGAATACAAATATTTTGAATTCAAGTCTTGCCAATGCCTATTTCTTTCTAGAGTGAAAAAATCCTAAATAAGAATAACCAAAAGCATGAAATGAGAATAAGCACCAAGAAGGCAAGAAATTAATACCATTCTTTGCAGGACATTAACATGACTTGATTCATTTATCAAGAGTCATGTCATCCAAAACATATCAAAATATTGACAAACAAATATTTTATCCAACCTTCCCTACCAAACATGATAGTATACAATGGCATATTATACGTACAAATCCAAAAGGCCATTGGAAAAGCCTTAGTAATAATGTCTGATACTATCCAATCCTCCCTACCAAATATGATAATAATCTAATTCAAGACCATAATTATGCTCTATTTGCCACTCTTTTTAGCACGCTTTCCTTGGCCCTTCTTTGGTGGTCCCTTTCCACGGCGTTTCAACATTTCAAGCTTGTTTAAGCGCCTGTCCACAATCAGCAAAATGAGGCTCGAAGAATAATTCAGACATGAAAACATGACTTCAACCCAGGGGGGAAAAAAAACAGAATCAAAGTTCCAATTTCACAGTCACTCCACATCATTAGCCTACGTCTATGTCGATATAATTCTAGATTCCTAGAACACTTATGAAACTTTGGATAGATTTTTTTTTTCTTTTTCTTCAAGATGGTCCAGAAATATCATCAAGCATCTTGAAGGTTCATAATATAGCACGGAAGGTACACTCACCAATCTTCCTAAAATACCGTCTAATCTACAGATAATTGATACGATATTGAACATCCAAGAAAATTTTTGTAAGATTCGTTCTACTCTCTGCCTTCCTATCTTAGATTGAAAATACTCAAGAGGTAACAGCTTGTACAAGATAGTAGCATCTAATACTTCAAAACACAATGAATATTCACATAATGCTTTAAAACCTTAACATTCTTTACCATGAACACAACACAAAAAATAGTCACACAGTGTGAGGTGATTTATTACTCTTGTTCTTGACGGGCCATGATGAGGGGGTCATCTTTCTTAATGTCATAAGGGTACCACGAGGCCACCTTCTCACCAATAAGCTTCTTGCGCAGAATCTTGTGCGGAGATCTCTGCCCAGTTGGGTTGAGCACATGACCGAATATCCGAGCCCTTGCCAATGCCACACCCTTTATGGCTGCATCAGCAAGTACATTCTTCATGCTCCTTAGGTTGCCGCTCATCTCTATGACCTTACTTACTACCTCAAATTGTAAAAGAAACTAAGTTAATAACGGAACAGAAACGTACATTAACAATTTGGAGGGGGATAACCATCAAACAGTTGAAGTGCATTATGGGAAACTAAACAAAAATACCTCAACAATGAAACAACGATCTTGACAGGGGAAATAAACTAATCGGATGCACAAGGGTAAAAACGGTCGAGGTTAAATCATTCAAAACAATCAAATCGATTGCGAAATAAACATAAAAAGCCCAATAAATTTAAAGCATCTTTTTACCCAAATAAATCTGTATTACCTTCCTTTTCCTTCCAAGTTTGGTGATGAAAAAGATACTTGTCCTTGTAGAAATCACTGCAACACAAGATTAAAATGGTGCCAAGAGGGTAATGAAACCGACTCCTTTTTCCATCTCCTTCACTCTCCCAAAATTTGGGGTACTTTTCAAAATGCCCAAGTCAAAGCACCCTTTTTCCACTTTGCCCAAAAATTTTAACCATTCACCACAATAGCCTTCTAAGGCTGAAAAGACGAAATTATCCTTAAAATGTTATATAAATTACAAAAAATGGTATTGTTTGAAAAAGACAATAATACCCTTTTTAAGTTATAAAGAATTTCAAACACTTCCTACGTAAAATTTCGAAACCAATTCACTTTCTCCATCTGTTTACTCCAACACAGATAAAAATTTATCAAACGCTCAACAAGGAAATATTTCACAGCCATCAGTGAAATCGGTAAGCATATTTTTACGTATTTTTGATTTCGTTTTGGTTAAGTACATTATTTTAATCTTTAAATCTTATGTATATGAAAATTTTATGATCTATAATCGACATTTTTAAACGAAAACGAGAAAAAAATTCATCTGATTGAGATTTTCAGATCTGTGATGGAAGAAGAAAACCAATTAAACACGACCCCGACGTCCGGGGAGTCCGGGCCGTCCGGGCGTCCGGGGCGGTGCACCCTCGCCGGTTTTTTTTTCCACGAACATAACAAATATTTTTTTTTTNACCTTCCTTTTCCTTCCAAGTTTGGTGATGAAAAAGATACTTATCCTTGTAGAAATCACTGCAACACAAGATTAAAATGGTGCCAAGAGGGTAATGAAACCGACTCCTTTTTCCATCTCCTTCACACTCCCAAAATTTAGTACAATAGCCAGGAAAACAGCAAAGCCACTTGTCCCCTTATATTGCTGGGTCTTTGCTGGATACGCAGTTTCGGATTACACCAAGAAGATTATGGGCTTCTACCGGGCTTTAATCAATTTTGGTAGTCCCAAATCGTGCATTTTAGCTTGGGCTCCTCCTCCCACAAATCAGGTCATACTTGTATTTTCTCACAAATCAGGTATTTATTATAAGTAAAAGGAATAATTGCAGAAAAAGCCCCAAACCTTTAAAATACTAGCAGACTTTCCCCAAATCTTTGATTTATTGCATCCATCACCCTAACCTTTTGAAACGTTGCAGGAGAGACCCTTTTGAATGATTTTCATCCAAAATACCATCACTTAACCCAAAAAATTGATTTTGACTACATTTTAATCAATTTTAATATGGGAAAATGGTAATTAGCTATTAATCACATTAAATAATAAATAAATAAAAGTCAACCCCACCCCAAACGAAATCCCAAACCAGAACCAGTTGTTCTTTTCTCCTAACCCCAGCCAAAGGCATAGCATTGTATATTGAAACTCTCATGTCGCTAACCGACATTTGCCCCTTCAATTGCACCATCTTTTCCTTGGCTACATGGGCGGATGGAAGCCCAGCCCCAACCCAGAAGCAAATTTGTTTTTAAAAATTGGAAAATTTAGCCCAAATTCTTGGTAAAATTCAAAAAGAATAAAAAATTAGTCCAGTCCAAAAATTAATTTTAGCCTAACTAACTTTATTCTCAACCCAAGCTCAATGTTCAATTATTCAAATTTAGTTTAAGACTCTACAATAGTTACATATTTATTTTATTCATATTCATGATACACAAAAAACTCGTTACCAAATTAGGTATTTTATTTCGCACACACACATATAACTAAATTTAAAAAGTTCACTTATAATCAAATTAGTTTATTATATAACATATGTTTTTTAATTGATTGAAGATAAATGACCTATTTGAACAATATAAAATGCCACATGTTTGACCAAGCCTAAAAGTAATTAAATTTTTTCTAATGATTTTTTTCACATATTACTTTTTTATACTTGTGAGTTAAAAATTTATTTATTTCGACTATGAAATGGATGTTATCATCAAAATAAGTAATATGCTCTATATTTAATTTTATTAGTTAAAATATATATTTGTTAGAACTTTGTTATGAGTGTCCCAAAATATATTGTGACCTATATTATTATGAGTGTTATGAATTTAACATTTTAAACTAAATTTTGAGTGGTATAGAGTATCTTTTACGGTATTAGTTCATTGAAAGAAAAAATTCATCCCACCCTAACGTATATTTTTGGCTCCGCCCCTACTTGGCTACTTCCTTCACAAACTCAGTTTCCAACTCCAACTTTGGCAAAGTAAATGGCACATTCATCAATAACCTCACACTCTTTTCTAGCGAACACCTAAAGAACCCATTTGTGACGGATTGCAAGGTGATATCCCGAGATCTACCATAGCACGGGGATGTCACCTAAAATGGTGGGGAAATGACTGATGTCCATGGTGGCTGGTTCGTGTCCAGGTCGTGTCTAGAAAATTCGGGTGTGCAGGCAGCCATGGCGACACGGCTGCAACACAGGCAGACATCGCAGGCAGATTGCAGGCAGCACCCAGGACGCAGCCAGGACATAGCCAGACACAGACTGCAGTCATGGCATGACGCAGGCAGCACAGCAACACAAAATGCAGGCTGCCTGACATGGGGAGTGACATGGCCATGACATGGGCAGTTTTTCCCAGCATACCCGGTGGTTTTCTATGGAAGAATACCATGGGCAGATTGTTGGGATATTTTGGGAGTCTTGTACAAATTGGCTATTCAAGCCACTTGCAAGATCAAAGGCCAAGGAAGGAAGCAAAAGCCAATTTGATGACTATGAAAGGAACATGTCTTGCATGTGATTTTTGTAGAGACATTCCACTTGCAAGAAGCAAAGTCCAACTTGGCTTCTCTTTGGTCTAAGGAGGTTTAAGGCAAGTTGCAAGCATTAAAGACCCTTGGATGGGGATTGATGAGGATTGATCCTAGCCATTAAAATCCAAGGCCCTTCCATGGGATTTGCCTATAAATAGGGATGTAGTCCCATTGTAATTGAGAGATTAGAATTTCAAGTAGTATATGTGAGTTGAGAGAATTATTGGAAGGCATGCAATTTATGAGATTCATGCTATTCATATAATTCTTAGATCACATTGTAGATTACATTAGTGTGGAGTTTTTATACAAAGAGAGATTTTCTCCCAAGAATACTTGTCTTCTTTATTACTTCAAATCTCATACTCAAAGTTGTGGTAATTTAGCCTAGCAAGGTTGAATTATTTTGGGGGCGTCGAAAGGCTGACTTAACGTTTTCTCGAGAGGGTCGGGAATTTGGAACGTTAAGGCCGCACGGTTTCTAGTTGTTCATATGTCACAAAACTAGTCCCGTGACACGTTGCTCCCATCAAAGGTGTCATACAAAATATGTGTCTTCTTCACATTCTTCTTCTCCACCTCGTTCAGTCCACTATGAACATTGAGATCCTCAAACACCAGCCCGCACATATAAATACTGAAGCAAGGGGGACGACTTGGATCTTGTAATCTAGCATTGCAAGAGTATTTGGTTGCGCATTTCCTATCAAATCCGACCTTACTATCACAATTGTAACACCAAATGGACCGACATTTTTCTGGGCTCCAACATAGTCCCCCCAAATTTACTCACATCCGCAGGCTTGAAGCAAAAATTGAATGACTTTTTTTTTTTTGTTCATTATTTAATTATTTAATGTCATTAATAGCTAATTACTATTCTGTCCTTTTAAAATTGATTAAAATGTGATCAAAATCAATTTTTGGGTCAACTGATGGTATTTTGGATGGAAACCGTCCAAAAGGGCCTCTTCTGTAACGTTTCAAAAAGTTAGGGGTGACGGCTGCAACAAATCAAAGATTTGAAGAAAGTCTGCTAGTGTTTTAAAAATTTGGGACTTTTGTTGCAATTATCCCAAAAGAAAATTTAAGATACAATGTAGTGAGAGAGAGAGATCTATATATATATATATATCATTTTCTGTCCTCATATATCAACCAATTCCAATTTCAATCTCATTTCTTATCTTGTATAAATCAATTATGATCTTTGAAAAAAAAATTATGAATCTAAGAACTGCCTCAAAATTTGATATTTTCGAAAACTTTTCGAAAACGTGAATTTAAATTATGATAGTTGTGAATTTTTTCTAGTGATTATTTGGTTCATTAGCCGACCAAAACAATACAAGAGACTACCTTGGGCTCGTCTTTGGTGGCTCCTTTCGACGACGTTTCAGCATTTCAAGCTTGCTTCGATAATTCATATTTGAAAACACGAAATCAATTTAAGCAAAAGAAAAAAGAGAATCAAACCAAAACCAAAGTTTCAGTAAATGTCTTGGAAATAGTCCATCTATTGAACCATACATGCAACCAATTGTAAAGATTTCCTTCCAAACGCAAGCACAGTCACTTCGACATATTTTTCCAGAGATTTAAGGACGAGACTTTGAGAAAAATAAATCCTCTATTAAAATTTGTATAAAAAGAAATACTTTACTAGTACGAGATAGACGTGAGCAATATGACCTCAACTTAGAACAGACTGTCACGACCTTGTAAATTTCACGCACAGAAGCCAAGGAAGATTTCATGCCGGACCACAAAGGATGATAAATATTAAGATCAATACACAGTACGATTCATGAAGTATTGTTTAGGCACGTGTCCAGTACCCGAATCTTTCCATAAAAACTCCCAACAAAAATACGAAGGAAAAGGATAAGCGGTGCAATTAGCATGTTGTCCAGTCGAAGGATATCATATCATAATCCAAACTACATATTCATTCTTCTACACATGGATCAAGGCAGATAACTCTGGCAGTTTCGCCTGTCTGCAGTTCGGGCTATTGACGATGATAAGGAGGCATTGGGGCAGAGTGCGGTAGACCGCCCTGGCTATGAGACTGCGGCATCATCCCGGGGACCATCCCGGGAGGCATACTTCCAGCAGGGGCGTACGGGTAGTTATGCATGTGCATTGGCATTGATGGATGAACTGCTGTACCAGGCGGATTCCAGCCTGCAGAAGGCTGAGGCACAGCGTGACCATCAGGGGATGGCGTATACTGGGCTCCGTTGTATGGATGAGAACCGGGTCCTCCGACTGAATATGGTTGCTGCCCTAATAAGGAGGGTTGGGAGTTCAATACAGGAGTATTGGGGACTGTATAATCTCTGCTTCTATCATTATTGACCTGAAATCAACACAATAAGCTATGCATTTTAGATGTTAGCCATGACAAGCTCTGAAGTACACATACCACATAACACTTAGACCACGTTTGTTTCTCATTTTTCATCCATAAAAATGAAAAATATGACCGTTATCCATCACATTAAGCCATCAATTTTGAATTTCTATCTCTTGTGTGGGACCCAATAACGACTATATTTTTCATTCTCATTCTACAATAATGAGAATCAAACGGGCCTTTAATATTACTTAACTGATATCTAGATTGCGAAATATTAGTAATCTAAATAGATAGGATTACTCTTAACATTTTTCATCCATAAAAATGAAAAATATGACCGTTATCCATCACATTAAGCCATCAATTTTGAATTTCTATCTCTTGTGTGGGACCCAATAACGACTATATTTTTCATTCTCATTTTACAATATGAGAATCAAACGGGTCCTTATGTAAAATATGGGTTAGTTAATGCTTTTATGACATGAATGATAAGGTGGATTAAATAGCATTGGACAATATTAAAAAATGAAACTAAAAGCTTATTTGTGAAGTGATTATATACAGTTTAAATTAAAAATATATAGAAACGAGTGATGAATAAGTGGTTAGTACTAGTGACTCCTACAAAATGAAATGTGTGGATAGAAAGTGATTTGACCAATTATAAATAGTATATAAACATCAGCCAAACATAGAAAATTGCATTATTGAATACGACCTAATACTACATATCAAACATGCACTTATTGGAACAAGATCACGGCTATGTTCATAATATGTTGAAGGTCAAGAATGTAATTCGCCCAATAAATTACTGAAGTTCCATGAAAGAAACTAGAAAATACTGCCCCCAGGATAAAATTAATTGGGGACAAAATCTGCAGTCGGGGGGGGGGGG